CTATATGATTTAGCAATCCCACTACTAGGTATTTATCCAAAAGAAAGGAAATCAGTATACTGAAAAGAAAATGAAGAGGAAAATAACTTCATCGGTATATGTGAAAATGAAGGCAGAGACTGGAGTGATGCATCTACAGGGCAAGGAATGCCAAAGATTGCCAGCCACCCCCCAGAAGCTAGAAGAAGCAAGCAAAGATTTTTCCTTACAGGCTTCAGAGGAAGTATGGCCCTGCCAATACCTTGATTTTGCACCTTTAGTGTCCAGAACTGTAAAAGAATAAATTTTTTTTGTTTTAAGCCACCTGATTTGTGGTACTTTGTTACAGTAGCCCTAGGAAACTAATCCAGGGGGCAGTGTAATGAGAGAATTTATTGGGATTAACCTGATCAGTTTGCTCAAGTTTTATACAAGCTCACCAGCCTGAGGCATTTGGCCACTGCTTTCCTACACAGCATGTATTTCTATGGCTGTTTTCTCACAAAGGTTTTCTAGAATTGGCTTTCCAAATGGGAGGAAGAATAGTGAAAGAGAGGGAACATTTTCTCCTCCACTCTTTTAATTTTGGAATTAGCAAACTGGAGAAGAAAGCATGTGTGATTTTGCTGTTGTAGGTTCTGGGTACGCTTTCATAGGCTCCAGCATATTGTTAGTTTGTATGATGCATGTGCTGTATCTTAGTTTCCTGTTACTTTCCTCTTATTCTAAACGTCGAATGCTACTCCTTGGGATTCAGACCCGTCAAGCTGTCTAGATTATAGAAGTGTGCCTTGTACTAGAAGGTAAAAATATCGATTTCCTTAAAAACAAACAATAACAAACCAATCCCCCCCCCCCCCCAAACTGGCTGCTTATTCTAACAATTTGCATTCTTATCATTATTTAAGCTGTTAATTCATTTGATAAAAATTACCTAATAAGTACAAATTCTTATATTCAGTAAGGATTGGGCAGCTTTGCCTTTTAGGAAAAATTCTTACCATCTAAAACCATCACAGTGCAATACTTTGACTCTCGTGTCATCACTGTTAGATCTATGAGTTGGTGAAATGAACACCGTTTTATAAGGTTAAAAATTAAGACAATATATTATTTGGATCTCTCACGTCCTGTTTACTGGTAAGACTGTTTTGTGTAACTAGTAAACAGACCTCTAAATTATACAAAGTGATATTCCAACTCGCTATTTAAACTTCATTAACGTTCCCAGAGACCTACCAGTGCCAGAAGGAATAATCACTCTGGATAGAAAATTGATATGAGAACTTATGTAAGTCTTTAATTTAGAAGTAGCAAAAATCCATTTCCAGCTAGAGTTAGCTGTGCTGTATCAGAAGTTCTTAAGGTAAATGTCATAAAAATTTGTTTTCTTGAATCACATTTGGCTACACATACTTTTAACATATAAATGCTAGAAACTGCTCCAAAGCAAAATTATGGCTTTTTTGCTCTATATACTATCTCGACATCATTTTTCTAAGTAGGTATCTGTGAAGCTGGTTTGAAGGGGAAGAAAAAATAAATACATACATACATATATATATATATTTTCACCTTGTATGTTTAACTTCATGCTGTCCAACAGTCGAAGACAGTGATACTGGTTCCATTCCTAGTTAGGCATGCTTTTGGATTTTCAAAACACTAATTGTCTTGGATTTGAACTGACCCTTCTATATTCAGTTTACTACAACTCCTCATTTTCTTTTCTTTTTTTTATCATTAAGACCGTAGATTACATTTCTCAAGTCAAAATAAAATTTCTTATATCAATAAAATTTTTCTCATGAGTTGCAACAGTTATCTCCTTTCTGTATTGATTTTTGAAATTAAGAAATAAAAAGGCAAAATATTTTGTCATTCAGTTAAGGACATTTTGAGAAATGCCAATTGACATAGGAATTCCAAGGATATAATTGCCCATTATTTCAGTACTTATAAGGTTTTTTTTCTGAAAACCTGGGAATCATGTGAACAGGTAGACTTTTGGATCAATATTCTGGGGTAGATCTTGATATTATGTTTTTCTAATGAGCTTCCAGGTAATAATGTTGCTGCAGGTTTAGACACCACTTGATATAGCAAGAATGTAGTGATCTCTTTCTCCTTTTTTGGAAACAGAACTCTATTGGAAAACCCATTCTATGTACTATGAAACATGCCCAGGTATCGGCCAGAATCTCCCCTAAGTGATTTGGGGACTGTGGATATTTCATCTGTGATCTACAAAAGCTGGGATCATGTTTCCTGGTCCATGAATCATGTTATAACACGAAAAAATAAGGCCAAATATGAAAGAATAGGCCCAACACGAAAAAGGGTACAGGGATGAAAGACAAGTGTATGTTTCCAGGGCATTATTTGGATTCCTGGAACCAGATGTGTTTAATATATTTCACCCATGGGATTACTAGTTAATACAGTTTTTCACTTATACTAGTGTGTTTCTTCCTCTCCTGTAATCAAAAGTCCTGATAAATATCCCAAGTTACCAATTCAATAAATTATGACAAGGTGAGTTTGATAAGCATAGTTAATGCAAAAGTGGAGCAAGACAACTCACTCATGTCCTTATGTAACCTAAGGGACATTTACTGAACTTAAGATCTGAAAGTATTCCAATGCAAACTTAGAAGCAATGTGGAGTGTACACTGTTGTAACTGATTTAGAGCATTATTTCCTTATTTGAAAGACGTATAAACTCACACTTCCAGGGGTGAAATAGACCTTGGATAGCTACTTTGTAGAATGAGGAAATCAACTTGCACACCTTGGTCAACGCCACATCTAAAGTTACAGAACCCAGAACCTAGATCTCCTCATCCTTTAATTCCTTCTCCCACAACTGTCACTTTTACTCCTTATTATATTAACTTGTATGTATTGCTAGGTCTTAGGTGCAAAATTAAGTGATTATAAATGTATACAAAATATATGTCTAAATGCCTCTTATACTTTATATGTGAATATACATTTGGGAAGAAATATCGGTGAATCATATGGTGAGGCATACAATTTGATAACGTGCATAAATGTATAAAAACTTAAAGAATTCTAAATGTGATTCCTTTAGTACTTCTTGGGTTACCGATCACTATAAAATTCAGACATTCTTTTAAGAAAAAGAATACTGTTTTTAAAATTTAGAAAAATGTTTTAAATTTACACCCTTTTGAAATACTAGAAACTTGAATACATCATAGTGAGAGGAAATTGTTCTGTGAAAGCGAAATTACTTTAGCTGGCTGTTTGGTTCATATTTAGACAGAAGTTTATTTATATCTAACTTAAAAGTTGTGTAAAAAAGTGTCCACGGCTTAGTAAATTAAGTAGAAAGTTATTAGGATTATAAATTCCTTTACATCTTCAGTAATTTTCTTTAGTACAGATCTAGCAACAATTTTTATACAGACTGGCTTAAAATGAGTTTAATTGTAGTGTTAATAGTGTTTGCATGTTTGGTGAGTTATGATGAAGATTCAAATAAATCTCCAAACAATTATACAAAAAAGAAAAAAAACAAAACACTTTATTTTCCACAAGAGCAATAAGAAAAATTAAATCATTTCCCACATATTGTTTTCTTAAAACAGAGCCTACAAAGACATATTCAGCACCAAATAAAAAAGGGAAAAAGAGAAATTACAAACAGCCATAGAATATAATCTATAAAGCAAACATTTAATATTGCACTTTGTTTTGCTAACATTTTGGATTTTACTTTTCTTAACTGAAAAATCAGGAATCTATCTTGAATACTGGAATACAACTGTGAACCTCACACCTTAATGTCAGGAATTGACCAATATGTAGAAAACAGTAATGCCTCTAAGTAAGATAATAAAGATACTTTAAGGAGGAAAATAAAACTTTATTTGATAAAGTTTTATAAATTTCAATTTTTAATCACATTTTGTGACCCAGTGCCAATTATCAGGATATTGGTCATTCTTGCTTCATTTGTTATTTGTAAGAGTATATGTTGATAAGTATTCCAATGCTATGCATATCAACAATTGTTCCCTAGTCAGATGTAAGAAGAGAGAAAAGAAAAGGGATTTTCTGACAATCCCCCAACCCCAAATAGAAATTAAAATCACCAAATGCCCTTTATGCCAAATATTCCATTAGCTTCTTTTGAGGGGGACATTCACAAAATGATTTAACAACAATAAAAAAATATTTCACCCCCATTTCCTTATTATCTAGTTATTAGTTTGCTACGGGAGCCCAAACCCTTTAACTGAATCACTTAAAACGTGATTCATTTTTACACTGGGCTTTCTTCACCCTGTCAGCATTTTCAAACATGAATTGTCTTCCATGTTTTCTTAAAGGCCACTTATGGAAAAGCCTATTTGTTTTGTATGAAGCTTAAGACAGCATTTAATCAGGTCAAGCACCAAGCCAGAGTTACTATTATTTTCAGTCACTTTATTAACTGTGGGGTTAAATGTTAGGATAGATGTAATACCCATTTCACACGTATGTTGTGACATCACAAGATGCTGATTTTCATTAAGAACATCAAAAGCGAATTCCTTCAAAAAAAAAAAAGTACACTTTGTACCTTGAAAAATACAGATTTAAATGTTATCATGAATGCTGGTATATTTGTTTTGAGCCAACTGTAAATTATTTTTAATAAATTTACTGATGTAATCACTGTTCCTATTTTATCTATACTATACTCAGTGATTTCTCATGTTTAGCAAATTGACCTTTAGGTAATGGAAAAAGTACTTTCATTTCTTTTTTTTTTTGTCTTTTTCCGTGTCCGGCAACGGATCGCAACCCTCAGTGTTGCCCCCGTACCGGACCAGGGACCGGCAATGGGATTGCAACCCTCGGTGTTGCTCCCGCACCTCGCTCAGCCAGCAAGCGGGAACCGGTCTGTATGTGAGATCCGAACCCTCGGGCGGGAGCGCCGCCGCGCTTCCCAAGCGGCTCACTTATCCAGTGCGCCACCGGGCCGGCCGCAAAAGTACTTTCATTTTTAAAAAAAACCTGCAAAAATACAAAACAGTTATCCCAGCAAACTTTCTAGTACTTGTAATTTTGAAGTTACACACTTTTTTGAATAAACATGGATTTCAACGCTGTCAAGCTTGAGCAGGATAGCAAATATATAAATTAAGCTTTCTAATCATAACCTCCACATATATTCCTGCTCATGAAAATACTTTGCACCAGTAAAAATGATTTCCAACATATGTGTTTTGGAGGTAATTAACTCTGTATAAAAATAAATGCACTTTCCCCTCCCTTCCCCAGTGACTGGAAAACTTCCATACTTTAAAAATAATAATTTTAAAGAGCAATAGCCCTTAACTCTTTGCTGGTGCCCACTGTACTGTCTTTATTACTCCATTCTTAGCTCTACTAGTTTCTTCTTGTAGATAAAGATAAAAAGGGAATGTGGGTGGATTATCACTTTTGTGTATGTCCCGTTTCCAAATTTCTCTCTCCAAAAAGCCAACCAAATAAACAAAAATATAACTCAACAGTGCAACAAAACACAAATAGCATTCCAACAGTTTGGCAAGTGATGCGTTCACCTGAGATTAAGTGATTTTAGGCAGTCAGTAACAAAATGCTGTTTTGCTGTAATAGTAGAAAGGCAACAAATTCCTAAAAGAAATCAAGAAGGTATACAATCTTGACAGTCTCTTATTAGCTTCTTCCTCTTATCTCTTTTTTCCCCACATATCTGTTGCGTATCTACTACAGTAGGCTGCAAAACATACAGCAAAAAGGATTGGCTTGAAGGCATTTGATGTTTGTAAATAAATCCACAATAGGATCCAAGCTGAAGAGGTGATACATGGTCAGCCTAGTAGGACAATTCTGAGCATGTGCATATGCAGGTAAAGTCCAGGCTATATTAAATAAAAAAAGTCAGTGCGTTTTTTTTCATGTTAAAGTTTTTTTCAAAGCTTTCTTTTGTTCCTTGTCGTGCTGACCACAAACAAGTTTTAAAAGAGTAACAAGAGTCTGGCATAAATGGGAAGGAAGAAAAAAAAAAAAAAAAAAGCCGTAGTGACATTGAACTGCACAATGTAAGCATTGAGCATGTGCAAATTTTCAAATCAAAAGAAGGAAATCATCCCTCTTTACAATGTGGTGTTTTGACACCTATGACCATAGGCTATGAAGACTGCTCTTAATATGTGCCAGTTTTAGAGGAGAAAAGCTTAGATCTTCAAGCATGTTGGAGCAGTCCCAGAATGTTGCTATAGGCTTCTAAAGCATGATAACTGGTTGTTTCATGTATTCGCCATTTTTCTGGGCAAAAGCAATTCCACTTCCACTGAAAACGTGTCTCCAAGATACTTCTCTGTCCTCAGCCGGAAGGGATATAGTTCGGAACCCACATGAATTTGACTCAACCAAGTGTTCCTTCAACGAGAGGGGCAGGATGGTCTATCATCTGCTGATTGATCAGGATTTGGATCAATCTAGAAAGAAATGAGAAAAGATTTATAGGTTATTTGATGAGGTCTAGGAAGAATGCAGCAAATGACTATACATTTTTAAACTAGTATTCAAAATCAATAAGAAAGAGTTTTAACAGCTTATTAGCAAATTATACCCAGTTATTCCCTTTTCATAACTGAAATGCTATGTGAGGAGAAAAAGGTGCTGGTATTACCTATAAAGTGTCTGATATTCACAATCACCAGATTATCAATAAGATTTATAAAAGGTCTGACTGAATAGTCCTCTATTTCACAAAAGTTAATGTTAAAAAATCCCCTTTTTATCAGTGAATGAAGATTTTTTACTCAGCATTAGTTGTACTTAAGACTCAAATACACAATGGAGAAAAACTTCATAGCAATTATCTCCATTGATAAAGTATCCCTTTCATTTTTTTCTACAAGGAAGTAAACTCATCTCTTCCCTAGGCTTTGCAAAGAATGAAGCTGTATAAATAATGCTCTTGGTGCTTACGTGAGGTAGTAACTCATAGATGTAAAACCCCAGAGAAAGCCTAAAATACAGTGTGTATCAGGAAATTACAATGCTGAACCCAAAACATTCTAGAGGCTTCTCACCTTCTATTATCTCTGGAGTGGACTTTCATATGCACACTTAATGAAAGTGAATGTATTTTAGGGGCTTCTCAGTTACAAAGAGAATGGGTACAGAAGGGCAAAACGTTGGGTTTAATGTATTTCTTTTATTGAAAGGTCTTTTGGACAAGACCCACCCACTTGCAGTTATATGTGGGACAACCCAAAGTGCCTCAGAAGCTTTAGGTAAAACAAATTTTTGAAGGAGAAAAGCCAAATAACTTTTAGTTAAGTCACACCCTGAACCTATTTCAGGGTTTTAAATTATCTTATCCTTAGTTCATTTTAAAAGAAGGCACAATTTCATGACAAATTGCTTGAAAGTGAATTACACTGAGATTGCAATTCTTTTAAAATGTTCCCTCCAATATCCAGGAAGCTGCAAATCAAGTCAGAAATGACTGACTTCATACGTAAGACAGAAATGTCAAAATAAAAATGTAACCACAAAGTCTCTAACAAGCAGCAGAACACTTTTAGTATCTAAAAGTAGATTTTATGAATTGGAATAATGGAATAGAAAAAACTAGGTCTAATCCAGAATTTGCAAGAACAGACTCTGAATCAATGAATAGAGAGGATCTCATATTAATCACACCCAAAGGAAAATTGACTCTTCTAGTTACTGTGTTTAGAAAAAGAGTAATTTGTTGAAGAGTAAAACAATCCCCTTTATGTCTAATTTAGGAGTAATATTTAATTGCAAAATAACAGTGTAAACTATAGTAACCAAAAGAAAATGCTGACTAGTGACTTACAAAATTATTTTGGTATCAAGGCCAAACTCAAAGCGCCTCAAAAACATTAACAATGGGCTTCAGTCATTCTGAAATATACTGAAATTGCTGGATTCCCCCTCACCTCCTTGCCTTTACATATGCTGTTTTTCCTGCCTGAACTCTTCTGCCTTTTCAGGACTATTCGTTCCTCAAGATTCAGCCTACCAGTCACGTGTTCATGGAAGCCACCTGATTCCCAAGCCCAATAAGCTGCTCCTCACATGAGTTGTATATTCCCATCATACCGATATGTAACATTTTGCTTCTAAGTTAGATTTTCCCACTAGTCTGTGAATTTCTCCCAAGTAAGGTCATGCTTTATTCACATTAAGTGCTTAGCTGCCCATCAATGTGAGATGAATGAAAATAGTCTAACAGTATGGGAAGAATAATGGTTAAGATGTTATTGTAAATATCCTATTTTCTCCATGACTGATGATGTTAAAATATGTAAGAATTAAATTTGAAAAAGGCTATGAGGAAGATAAATTCTAGCTAATCAAAGCTTGCAAAATGCCAGTTCTATCAATTCTTGAAAATATGAAATTATTCCCTCAAAAAATGTAAATAATTTCAACATGAGGTTATATCATTATCTCATTTGCCCAATATAAGTGAAGTCTTACTTCAGTATCTACCCTAATCTTAACTTTTAATCTCTTCTAAACTATTTGTTCTTCTATTATCATGATAATAAAGACCTAACTATATTTTTTAAAGTTTACAATGCTCTTTCCCAAGAGAGCCAGCCCACTTGAGGAGTTGGTGCTTACCTCTGAATAAAGAGGTGGAGGCAAGAACCGAAACTCTTGGATATATGCAAACAGTGGTCCTTGAAGTGCTCTCTCAAAGTCATCACAAGCACTCATTGGTGCAAGATTGTTTCGTCTTTGTTCCTCTGTTACCACTTCTGCATAGCTGGGTGGTGCTGAAGGAAAAATATACACGCAATTCGAACAGCACGTTCTTATGCATGTCAAAATACACAGAATAGTAGGTATTAAAAAGGAATGTCAAGGCAGAATAATAATAATCTGTTATGTGATTAAAACTAGGGAGAGACATAATCTAAATTTAACATTAGGAGCATACCTCCTATCTTTATAGAAAGATAAAAGTTTATCTAGGGTCATAAAATATCAGAAGCAAAATAATGTTCTTGATAACAAGAGATTAAGCTTAGATATGCATTATCAAATTACCTTCAGGCCTTTCAGGAAGGGATAAACCAAGCCAGTTCATATTCATGCTACATTGACTGCTTACACTTGAGGTTCTGCTACCAAAAGGATGTAAAGGAATGGTACCAATGACAAGTGGCAAATTAAGAAATAAATCCATAGCTCCAGGAATATCCACATACACCTAAACATTAAAAAGAGATATTAGGGTTAGAAAGCCAAGTATGATTTTCTTTTTAAAAACTAATAACCTAATTTTAATGTTATTTGAGGCCTCCATTTACTTCATTTTTTACTTATTACATGAAAAGTTTTTCTTTTTTTTTTTTTAAAAGATGACCGGTAAGGGGATCTTAACCCTTAACTTGGTGTTGTCAGCACCACGCTCATCCAGTGAGTGAACCGGCCATCCCTATATGGGATCCGAACCCATGGCCTTGGTGTTATCAGCACTGCACTCTACCGTGTGAGCCACGGGCCGGCCCAAGTTTTTCTGTTATGTACAATACTGTATAGTATGTTTACACAAAGTAAAATTAGTAATTATAATCCAAACTACATAAAGATTTACATATATTTGTATATATCATATTTGGAATATAAAAATCAAATCTGGATGTAAGACAAAATGACATCCTGATATCCTCATAACTTTAAGACTTAAAAAAACCCTCTTAAATCTATACATACCATTAGTGAATACTCCACACGAATTATACTACAGTCAAGGATAGAGGGAGAAACCGGTGGAATTTTCAGCAACTTGCCATTCCATGTCTCTGTCTTTCCAGATGATAAAGATTCCCCACGCAAGTTAGCCACAAGCTGTTTGACTTCCTTCATTTTCCCTTTGGCATAGAAGGCCTGTGTTTGGTAAATGGCTGCCTTTGGCACCACCATTCGGGAAGAGCAGTTCTCGATCTCAGCAAATATCTGAATTGATTCACCTATAGAGGGGGAAAAAAAATCAATCTCTCTCTCTCTACTGTTAAAATAAAACAATTAAAGATTCTTAAATCTAATGATACTTCAGCTACATGGATGAAAAACTGTACTAGGAGTAGCAAGTAGCTATGAGTCATAAAATGTTTATTCATTTACACTAGCTATTTGAAAAAGGAGACTACATTTCAATTTGTGCAAAGAAACTGGATAAGCACAATTTGTCTTACTTTACCAAAAAATACTGTAATTTGTTTATATTTACAAGTAGTATTACACATTTATACACAAAAACTAAGTGAAGAAAGACTTTTTTGTGGGGATCTACCTCATACATACCTGGGGTATAGCCCTTCCTTTCAATTTTGGCACTTAAGGATATTGGGCCTGAGGTACAGAACCAGCAACAGAGAGTCTTTTCTTTTGTGCCTGCTTGGGGTGACTGCAAGAAATAAATTTAGAGAAAGAGATCAATGAATTGGTACACTAGCAGAATATATAAAAATACAATCCTAAATTCTTGGAGAATTTAAAATTAATAGTAGTGTTGCTTTTTTTTCTGTACCCATACTTTTATTTTTTTTTTAAACTAACGGCTTCTGAGTTATACCATTATTTTTACCTTTACATAAATTTTCATTCAATTAAAGAAAAAGGGTAAAGCTTAATACCTTATCTCATAGACATACTCTATTTACCTATATAGTAATTAAAAATCAATGAAACAAAAAAACCCTTTCCACATTCCTTGTAAACTGCCTTGAAAAAAAGGCAGCAGAGAAAGCAACTTGGTTATTATCCCAAATGTTAACGTCTTTGAGAATGTAAAAATCAACATGTGAAAAAGAAAAACTGCCCATTTTTAAGGTTAATTCTTATTTGCTTTAAAGATGTTATCATTTACTTAAAACATAGTTTTTGAGGTCAAATTTGAATTAATCTCACAGAAAATGCAATTAAAAATTCCTTTCATAAAGGAGCTAAGTTTTTTCATGAAAGTGATAATTCCCCATTATTTGACAACTATCCCGATATTGGAATAATGCCACGTAGTACAAATTTTAGATTATGATATTTTCAAGTAAGTGATATTGTCTTATAATAATTGAAACCACTGTTCCTCTTCCACTATAATCATTCAGGGAACAGATCTATTTTTTGTTACTGCTGTCATATTCTTAGTAACAGACATTTCATACCATATACTGGTCTTACTTTTAAATTTATTTAGTTATTACAATATCAAAAATACAAGCATATTCTTCATTAATTTGTGTGCTCTTGACGTTCTTTAAAACCATTTTTTAAAAAATTATGAAGACTGCATAGTTTAGGTGATTATTCTTCAGTATTTATATGCCAAAAACAAAGAATGAAGAATTCAGTTAATTCTTACCAGTAATGAAGGAGTGTTGATATCTATATGCTCAAAGACTGTAAATTCCTTCTTTAATTTTACTGGTAGAAGCCAAGGCCTGTGCAATTCGGCTTTCACCCAATAACGCACACTGCCATGTCGGCCTTCAAATGAGGTAGCAAGTGGTCTGTGCAGAATATAAAGGTCAATATATTAACCTTATACTTCTTTCTAAGAATCACACGGTAGGTCATAATAGAAGTGTTAATTTATGTTCAACTGTTTATGTACCAATGAAGTATCAAACATTTAATTTAAAAATATTTCCAGGGGCTGGCCAGTTAGCTCAGTTGGTTAAGAGCATGGCGGTGTAACACCAAGGTCGAGGGTTTGGATCCCTGTACTCTCCAGCCACCCCAAAATAAATTAATTAATTAAAAAAAATAATAATTCCAAAGGGATAAGTCATTGGGGGAAAAATCCTTTTATTTCCAAATAGCAAGAGATAATAGTTAAATATTATACAAATTTTGCTTTAAAAAGCCAGAAAAATACAATCCCTTTCATCTAAGAAGAGGCTACTTTTAATGCTCGTGGCAAAATTAAGAAAGTTTAATGAGCAGTTCTTGAAAAGGTCAAGATTTTAATTTAAAAAATAAAGGATGGCTTAACTATTTCTATTGAGAAATTCTAGACATTGGTTAAACATTCAGACCAAATTCCCTACAGTACTTCACTTCTCATTAGCTAGGAATTATTACCTCATTTTATAGCAACCAATTAAGGTCTAGAAAAGGCCTAGAATAGTCATTATAGTTCACATTTTGTAAATTCCACTGAAACTCTGAAAAATTGCTTTTACATTTTCCAGTTTACTCATGTTCTAATTCTTTTTTGGCTATGTTTTCTAACTTTATAGGCTTAAAAAGAAAAAAATATTCCTATTGACCTATATCAAGAGAATCAAGAACTGTTTTTGAACTCTGCCAGATTTTATTACTTGTGTAAGGTTTTATTTTGGTGAGTTTAGCCCCTTTCTCATAATTGTATTAGAAAATGAAATTATGTTATTTATGAGGTAGAGTGCTAGCTTAGATTAATATGAAAAGCACTGGCATTTTTACAAATATATTTTGCATTTTAAACTCCCACATTAACTTGCAGTGCTTTTAAATCGTGTTCTTTAAGCTAGTCTTCTAGAGTTTATGTTAAACAATTTTGGTTTACAGATAGAATAAAAAAAAAAAATTAAATGACCTCTGAAAATATTCAGGCCCAATATTAGCTTTATTTTATCCAGACAAATATTTTTCTCAGAAAGTAGATTAGGGCATTATATTCAAAATGAAGTTCTCACTGTGGTAAACAGAATACTCTAAGAAATACCATTTATGAATTCTATGTCCATATAACAACTCAAGTACTAGAATTAACAAAACAAATTTAGAATTATCTAGATTTGGCACTTGATAAATTCCTATGAAATCTAAGTTTATTCAGTACAAGTGCCACTGTGCAGGTTCAATATCTGTTAAAAGGAATTATTAAAAAAGAAAAATTTATAAAATCTCTCCCAACAATCTGTTATTAAGAATGTACCACCTTTCCTTCTTCCTTTCATAATATATTCCAAGCTTTATGCTAAGGTATCTCTGATGGATATTTCCTTTTAAGTCAAGATGGTAGCGTGTTTTGTGTGATCTTCCCAATAGCTCTCTACATAGAACTTTTGAATCCATATCAAAAGAACATCACTTCTGGGGCCGGCCCGGTGGCGCACTGCTACAGTGCGCAGCTTGGGAGCGTGGCGGTGCTCCCGCCGAGGGTTCGGATCCCACATACAGACCGGCGCTCACTGGCTGAGCGAGGTGCGGGCGCAACATCGAGGGTTGCGATCTGTTGCCGGTCACGAAAAAAGACAAAAAGGAAAAAAAAAAAAAAAAAAAAAGAACATCACTTCTAAAGTTAGGATATTCCTAAATTATTTTTACCTTCTAAACTTACCGCTATTGGTCAGCATTAGCAGAAAAGGTAGAACATTGAATTTTTATAAACTGAAACTACTGAGACTTGATATGTTCTTTCTTTTCTGATAATGCTAATTAACAATATACTAAGTATTTATAAAATGCTTACTATTTTACTAGCGTCCTCCTATTCACTCACATTAGATGAAATACTATTCATGTTTTTAAAACCTCATAAACTTTGGGACAGAAACCAAGGACTGAGCTTGCTTTCTATAATTTTGCCACACTATATTAAAAAATAGCTTCGTATGTTTAATATATCGTTTTCCTCCAGCAAGTTTCAGTAATGAAAAGGGTTTTTTTTTTAAAAGTATAACTATTTAAATTTAGAATTTTTAATCTTTAAAAATTGAAGTATCTATGAAAAATGCCTGTATCTATGAAAAATGCCTACTACTTATAATACTTACGTCTGTGGAAGCTCAAAGCTGAATGCATATTCATGCCTTCCTGAATGAATAGTGTTGAAACCTTCTTCAGAAGTATCATCATCTAAAACAAACAGAAAAAGAAAACAAAAAAACTTACTAAACCATCTCTCTCTCTCTCTCTCTCTCACACACACACGTCATGGTGGCTTAACTTTAAAGATACTTATATAACAATTTAGGCCACAAGCTTTGGAGTCTGACAGATCTGAGTTCTAATTCCATCTTCTTCACTTCCTCTGGATAAAATAAAAATCCTGAGCCTTCAAGTTGCTTTATCTGCAGAACTGGGATAATGAATTCTTACACCCCATAGGCATTTTTTTTTTTAATGGAAAATGATCCAAACTGTAAAGCATCTGTCTAATAGACAGCATATATTCAACAAAAGTCTCAGGTCTCAAATCATACTAAGATAATATCTTTCCAACTGTTTTCTCAAATTTGTCTTATTAAAGACTACAATATATTAAGGGAAAACTGCTAATGTCAGTTTTAAAAAAACGTCAGATTTGGGGAAATAATACCGAAGATGTAAATAGAATATATGTTACAATTCCAAAACCACAATAAACTTTTTGTCAATAGATGCTGGATTAAAAAAAAAAAAAAGTCAGTTTCACAGTTGAAAATAATTCCTTATTGACCTAAAATGATTGCAACACTCAGTTGGTGCTACCAACAGCTAAAATCCGCATATGCACTAAGTGTACCTTAATCAATTACAAAGGCCAGGATTTCAAGGTGTCTGCTTACAAGAAAACAATGTCCCACATCCTTGAAAAATGAAGTCCAATTAGGGAGTCTCCAGTTGCTACCAAAGAGGGATGACTTATTTCGTAACCAATTTCTTCTCGTCAAATGCATTATTTTTTAAGTGGCTGTTTAAAGAAATGTACTATCGAAAATATGGGAGGGGTTCTGGATTATTAAAATGGTTCTTTTACTTGTTCTGCCTGGATAATTACACAAATGTCCTATTTAGTTTTCTCGATGTAAAAACCTTTGTAACTGGCCACCAGAGTAGGAAAAATTGATACTATCATTTAACTTTCCCTCACCAAAGTACTGCATATACAGAAAACCATGATGCTTCCATCAAAGAAAAAAAAAAAAAAAAAAAAAGCACCTATATGTCAATACTTTTACTTGAAAACCACGTCTATATACTATTTTCCTCATCGCCTGTGCAAAACCCCTGAACTGATTTCAACAACGAAAACTAGCTGGCGAGTGGGGGGCCATTTAAATTCGCTCCCTTCGAAGCCGCCCAAAGTTTTCCTTTCTCTCCCTTCCTTCCCTTCTCTCTTCCTTTTTGTGCCAGCTCAGCAGTCTCATTGAGAACGGCGGCGGCGGTGCCGCCGTGGTAAACAAGTACCGAGCTGTCAATCAAGAACTAGACCGGAGCAGGAGAGGACCGGCCTAAACCGGCGCGAGCAGATCTCAGCCGGCCCGCCCGCGCGCCGCCGCCGCTCGCGCTCCCCGCTATACATACAGCATACGTCGCGCGGTGCTCGCGTTCGCGCTCGCGCCCGCGCAGCCTAGACTGCGGGACCGGGGGCGGGGCAACTGCGCCGCTGCGCTTCCGCTTTACACGCCCCTGCCGGTGACCGGTTCGATCTGGCTGGGGCCACTCTGACACCTTTACAGTTGCAGCGAGGGAAACAGGGGCGGTGAAAGGGGGAGCCGAAGGCCCCGGGAAACAATGAGAGGGGGGCAAGGGATACTCGCCAAGGAGATACCCACCCAGATTTTGATACCAAAATCACTTTTCCATATCCTCCCGGCCAGCCTCTGCTGTCTCCCCTCAGGTCAATCAAGGTAGCCAGTCTAGTGACTGGACAAGTCAGGAAACACTTTTTCTAGGCTGAGGGGAACAAGCGTTTACAGGAGCCACCTGACGCCTTCCACCCGTTAAATAGGAAAACGGGGTACTGCTAAACTTCCCCACCCGAGTTCCCTCTGAATAGTATTTTTAGCTAAAGTTGCGCCCACGGCCATTCAGCACCTGTAAGGCCGGCTGGAGCTCCTGCCCTCTACTCGGCTGAAATCTAAATCGTTTCTTTCAGTGACTCCAAGCAGGCCGGAGTGAGAGGCGACAGAACGTGATGTGACAAGGTCCCCGGACGCCCACAGAAACCCGGGAAAGGACGCGAGCAGGGGCGGGGGCGGCGGGTCTGGAGGGACCCTTACCGGCGCACGCCGGTTCCAAGCCTCGCCCCAGCCGGAGCGAGCTCACTCTCCCCACCCGTCCGCGCCCAATCCAATCAGCGCCTGGCATCGCCTTAGCAACAGGCTAACAAACCCGGCTCCGCCTATCACCGGTCGCCCAGGGCGGGATCTCAGTTACCAGGCTAGTTAGAGAGCTCCCAATTTCAAGTCATTGAAACTATTCCAGGCTAAGAGCTCATCCACACGTTGCGGGGGTTGGGGGGCATCTCATGGGGTGCGGGGCACCTAGTTTTCTTTACCGTGAAATCGTGGTGCAACTAATGAAATTGTTCTTCCCCACAACTCATGGTTCCACTTTTCTCTCACTGCAAGTCTCAACTCCTTAAAGATAAACCTTTGTTTCTTCTCTCACATTTTATAAAAGGCTGCATGTCCAGAAAGGTTCAAACACACTCATGTGTCTGCTTTTCAATAAATACCAGGACTGTCATTAGGCATGTGCATTTCCTATCAGTGTGAACGCTTGAAGAGGTTAATTAGAAATTATTTTAGGATGCAAAGTCCCTATGTGTTTAACTATGAAACCCTTACTGAAGAAGTGAGTTTATCTTACTATTTAAAAAAATAATGTACTAATGCTGTGACTCAAAGCATCTTTCATTTCTCACTTGCCTTAGTTCAATTAGCGTTTCCCCAGAAGGTATATTTTTAATATAAAAAAAGGTAAAAATATGCCTCTATTTTTTCTGAGAAATCGTCACCATTTCAACTAAATACTGCATTAAAAAGGAGAAGCACAAAAATTACATAACCAGTTTTAACATTATATTCTTCTTGGGCTAGGAATTAAGTCATCGCCACCACCTGACGCGTGTAACCAATCTGCTGAGAGCAGAACAAGCGCCCCTCCTCACCACCCCCCAGAACTGGTCCGAAACAGGATTGAACCGCTTCTAACAAAGGGTGGAAACTTAGAAAAACAAGCTTAGAGTCTCCTATATTTCCACAATGTAGCCATTTAAGACAATAGACTGGAAATCTCAGGACCCCTTCTTATTTTGACAACCCTTCATCTCTCTCTTCTAACCCAAAATCAAATCCAATGTGCCGTATACTTTTCAATTCCATTTGACTGGCATGGGTTTCATTGAATGCACGTTCCAAAGTTAGACATGATGCTCGGAAAAGAACATTACTGACTCTAAATGGCTTCTAAAACTGACTCAATACCAACCATAAGGACAGATACTGTCCTTTAAAATAAAGAATGCTTGATGTACATTTCTAAAGGAATTGGAAAGAATAGGGAAAAACACGTGGGGTGTTGATACCATATGTCAAAATGAGCCACGGATACCCTGTATCAAAGTCTTTTGTGTGTCAGTATTAAAAATGAAACACACCTATTACGCCTCTTAAAAATGTTTTCCATTTCTTCATTGTAGCTCAGTTTTTAGATCTAAGGATGCAAAGTAAAAGGCAAAAAATCTAATATTGGATTGTAGTTTTTCTCAATTCATTTGAAAGCATATTAGTGAAATTACTGAATCAGACTGAAGCAGAATTTATAAGTATGGTGCAAGTGGATTACAAGTGCGTATGGCACAGACCAAGCCGGGTATAGATGTAGTTGAATAAGTGCAGTTTGCAGGCACTTTGCAGATGCCTGCATGCATTATAGCTTAACACACGATGAACGTCAAGGAGAATCCAAATCTTCCAACTTTGCTAATCTTTATCAAACTGTTGTGTTATGCTAGGAGTAGAATTAATTCAGAAAACTGAAAAGGTACTTAAAAAAGTCTAATGGCTTCTGAATAATATAAAAAAACTTACCTCTTTCGTGCCCAATTAAGATGTCTTTATGGTTGAAATATTCTACTTCTTCAGTGTAATTCTGTGTATAGGCAGTATTGGAGCCGGCGTTTCTAGATTCAGTCCAGCGTACTTTCGCATGTCCTCTTGCATGAATTTTAAGAGATTTTACTCTGATTTCCCCAGTAACTTCTAAATTCACCCTTCCTGAGACGGTATCCCCACTAGAATACACAGGGACATTGCTGTCATTAAGACAGTCAAAGCTTATTGTTAAACTCTTCACCTTTCCCAGCACCATGTTTATAACAAAATCTATAAAAATATAATGTAAGACAAAAAAAGTCAAGATCGCATATAAAATGTGATCTTTACTTAACACTGATCAACGTCTGTGCCGTGCAAAAAGCTTGCAGGCAGGATCAGTGATTCTTTACAAATAGTTCATTGAGATTTCTTAAAAAGTCAGGGCAGCAGAGAGGCTGCTGCTCCGCGGTCCCGCTTGTCTCAGTGGTCTCCTTACAAAGACGGGCGGCTGGAAGCTGCCAGCTCACTTTAAGAGCAGCTTTGTGAAAAACAACCCCAGTGCGCACGCGCACGCCGCGGCTGCTGTCCGCCCTCCCTGCGCGCCCCCTCCCGCGCGCAGCTCAGTCTCTCACTAGCTCGCTCGCTCGCTCGCGGGTACAGTAGGTGCAGAGCTAGGGGAAGAAGGCACTAGTGCTGCCGGGAGGCCGAACCTGGCTTCGGTTCATTGTGGGCTCCTATTGGTAGGCAGGCTACCGTAAACCCTCGACGTGCTATCTGGAGTCCCTTACCGAGCGCACGCTAATAGATAATGGCAGAGGGGAGCACGAGGGGACAAGGGCTGGGTGGGGAGCTGTTTGCAAAGCCAAGTAAGGGTAAACTGCTGAGTGACCAGCCCGAAGCGTGCGTTACCGGCACTGCGGGGTTTTGCCACTCGACTGGATGGGAGGAGGAAAAAGTGATGTGTGAAGAGACGTGGGGGGAAGGAGAGAAACCGGTTGGGCAAGCGGCTGGTTGCTGAACATAATCTAACGAATTTCGAAAGAAAACGTAATAAAAGCCAGACAAGAAATATTGTTCATAGGCAAGAGCATGCTTGGCTTGGATTTCCTTTAAAACCAGTACTTTGTAGGCAGGGTGGAAGTGAACTCAGTCTAGGCCATAGGAACCTTAGGAGAATAAGGAACAAGAAAGAGAAGCAAGTATAATCAGTAGGCTTTGTTTTCTCCTCCATCTCTTAATTAGATAGCACCATAAACAACCAAGTTGTTTCCATGATGACACTAGGGGAAAAAGGCTTGACCACTTCCTTGAAGGAAGAAAAAGTCCTTTTTAAAGATACCACCTACAGTTAGATTTGCAGGGCATGGCATGATTACAACTGTATCCAGAACAGAGTTCAGCCTAAAAAAGAACCGCTTTATAAAAGGCAGTATGACATAGTGATTTAGCTGACGTAATGTTTACAACAGTGAATGTTTTGGTAAAAAATAGCTGTGCTTTCGTCACATCACAGTGAGATTCAGAGCACAGCAGCATAAACTCATCTAGATTATTGGCAATCAACAGAATTGCTTATGAGAAATATAGAAAGAAAAAAATATGAATCTGTAACTATATATACTTTACCAAAAATACTTTGGAAGATTTTTGGCATGTTTAAACATTTTAGATTCTTTTGCATAGTATATTTGGATAGATTGAGTCTATGAATCATAATAAACTAAGCTCATTGGTCTTGCTGTTTTCTTTATTTCAGAAGAAACTACATTTTATTTAGTTGGTGTGTAGTTAACAAGGTAATATCTTGGACTCTGCAGCAATATATTGAAAATATAAATATGCAAACCATTTGGGCAATTAATGGGCAGGCCATTTGTCTCAGTTTAGATTGTTATGCTTAAAATTATGAATTTGTGTATTTATTTGAGTGGGAAAAATTCTTTCTCCTCTTGGTTGACACCTGGTGGAAAATCTAGGTAAAGTACCTGGGGTCTTGTACTAGCTTTGATACCGGATACTACTTGTGTTTTTTCTCCCCCTAGCGGTAAAAGTGTTGAATTTACTAAGATGTCCTCTTTTTTTTCTCAGCATAAGGTCAATGATAATTATTAAGCATTAGAATAACATTGAACAAGGAGCTGATTTAAAAGTGCGGTACACAAGGAGCACATTAATTCGTTACAAAATTTATGTTTAAAATTATTAAGGGCTAGTGAACAATGGCTGCATTTTTCAAAATTTGTAGTAAAATTTCTCCAATTAGAATATAACTTATTTCTGAAAAATAAGAATTAGCTATTTAAATGCACTAGAATTGAGTACAATAAAAAAGAACATTAAGAAATTTATTTACAGTTTTAACGTGTTAAACGATTCATTCCTGTCCCTTTACATTACGCTATTCATTATGTTTGAAGCTTTTAGGATCTTTTGAATCATTGTCTCTGTTATTTACTTTTCTGATTTAAAATTTTTCTTTTTATTGTGTCTTCCTAAACACTTTGGTAACTGGCAAGTTGCCAAGAAATTCTTATCCACTGTTATTTTTACTTAAGATCCCATTCACTTACCCCAATTATCACCTTTCTTTGCTTTAGATTTGGTCACATGACTATTTCTCAAGTGTCTAAACTTGAGTTTATTTGCTTCATTTTGTTTTCCTCCTATTTATTCAAACAATGAAAACATTGGAAACAAATGAAGAACTCTGGCACCTCTAAATTTCTGTTTATCTTTTCATTTCTAAAAGGAAATAAAAAAACACTTGGACCAAATTTTGAATGTTTTCTCTTGTGACTTTCATAACAACCCTTCAGGCAGCTTAAAATGCTGTACTATAGCCATTATCTTGGGCTTCTTGGCTTGCTTCACTGGGCCCTTATTGCATTTTGCATTAAATTTAAGCTATTCATCTTACCACCAAGGCTCTTTCCTACTGCACCCCAGCCTACGTCTCACATGGCATCTCCTCCTACTGATCCACTAAGTCACTATATTCCTGTCAAGTACATCTTCTGTCCCCTTTGTTAGCTTGTCTCACTGTTGCCAATGTGCAGTTACATGCTGTTTTATGTGCCCAGAACAACATCCCACTACTGTGTGATCTCCTTTCCCTTCTAACCCCTCTAGTAGTTCAGTTGGCACAACCTAGTAAAAGTCCCACTAGAAAGAATAACTATCTCTTTCCCCCTTTCATAGCTTCTTCAGAGCTTAAGTAGGGAATCTTTTTTTGTTTGTTTGTTTGTTTTGTTTTGTTTTTTTTGTGACCAGTAAGGGGATCGTAACCCTCGGCTTGGTGTCGTCCACACCACGCTCAGCCAGTGAGCACACCGGCCAGCCCTATATAGGATCCGAACCCACGGCCTCGGCGCTCCCAGTGCTGCCGCACTCCCAGCGCCACACTCTCCCAAGTGAGCCACAGGTTCAGCCCGGGATCTGTTTTTATAGTATTTGTTTCTTGGATTTTGAATCAAGTGGCTCCTCTACCTTCCACTCAATCTCAGGAATTTGTCAAAAACTAACAAATAATAATTGCTATCAAGATACATACTGTGATACTGAAGAGATATGTCAAAATGACAGCCAAGTCTGGAGTTTTTCACATATTATACCAAAATGCTCAATATCATTATTAAAAAAACCCAAGCTATCTTTACTGAAAGTTTTGGTGTTTGTCAGAAAAACCATACTAGTAGTCAGGATCTGTTTCTTAAAGAAACACATGAAATCTGTGCTTAATCTTTATTTTAACTAGTACCTGATAGAATTGAGAGCTGTAGAATTAGGTATTTTTTTTTCAAGTATTAATTCTATATTTCAAGGTTTCGTAACTCTGATTTACCCATTTAACAAGATGCAGCAAATGTGACTGGTGTAGAGACTGGAGGGAAGATTTGCTATATTAGCAAAATGAGTAAGATTTGTTTTTCATATTTGAGAGTGAATTGCATGTTATGTTTGTTACGTTCTTCATACTTAATAGACATTTAAATATGCTATGGATTTTGTGATAAAATTCAGTATCAAATTTGGTTTCTGTTCTCCCTTATTGAGAAATAGTATAATTTGTGTTATATGAACACCATTTAATCTGTTCTTTGATTTTTTGATTAAAAGAAAACTATTATTCTATCCATCTGGAGGTATGACTGTTAACATTTTGGTATGTTTCCATCCAGATGTACAACTAAAAGAAGAGCATTGCCAGCTAAGCTATGACGCTTCTTATCATGTAGATGATGAGTTGGTAAAGTTTATTCATCCAGGTTCAAATGACGTCTGGCCTACAAGAAAGATTAGAAATGCTACATTTTTTTTTTTCCTGAACTATTTTATGACTTTTAAGCAGGCACAACTTTATGTAATGAGAGTAAAAAGATTCTTATTATAATAAGATATTTTCTTGATGGACATTCAGTTTTAGTGGCAAAGTATAATAGAAAGGAACCAAATCTTAGTTTTTTATATCAAATTCATATTTGGCTGACTGGAATTTTATGTGCAATATCTTACTTGGGAAATGTTGCCTTTCCAGCCATCTATGTTTTCTCTGTTGATGAAGGGGATCACTGTTATAAATGATTTTAAAAACCCAAAAAGCTTGTTGTTTATTGCCACTACCTTTTCAGTATTGTTTAATGAAAGCTTTTTCCAAGAGTCTGCCAGCTAAGGTTAGTTTTATGTACTGTTGTTAATTATTATCCTTATGTTATGATTTAAAAATAGAGAGAATTATTGCTTCTCTCTCATCCTTAGCTCAGTTTTTTATGGCATTATCTTTCTTGTTGTTGGATAATTTTACTTGAAGAAGTAGCTACTATAAAGGAAGTGTTTGTCAGGGAAAAGCTGTAAGGAGGAGGGGCAATTTAAATGTAAAAGATTGCTGAGGAAGTAGGACTGGGCAAAGATATTATGAGTAAGATCCTAAAAACACTAGGAACAAAAGAAAAAATAAACAGATGGGATTATATCAAACTATCAAGATTCTGCACAGCAAAGAAAAAAGTCAACAGAGTGAAAAGATAACCTACAGAATGAGAAAAAATATTTGCCAACTATACATCCAACAAGGGATTAATAACCAGAATATACAAGGAACTCAAACAGCTTCATAGTAAAAAACAAAGAATACAATTAAAAAATGAACAAAGGAGCTGAATAGACATTTTTCTAAGGAAGACATACAGATGGCCAACAGGTACATGAAAAAATGTTCAACATCACTAATCATCAGGGAAATGCAAATGAAAAACACTTTGAGATATCACCTCACCCCAGTTAGGCTGGCCATTATCAAAAAGACTGAGAATAATAAATGCTGGAGAGGATGTGGAGAAAAGGGAACTATACTACACTGTTGGTGAAAATGTAAATTAAAAACACTAGGAACAAAAGAAAAAATAAACAGATGGGATTATATCAAACTATCAAGATTCTGCACAGCAAAGAAAAAAGTCAACAGAGTGAAAAGATAACCTACAGAATGAGAAAAAATA